TTACAAATTATTTAAATGTTCAGCAATAAGATCATTGGCAACTTTACAGAGGGCCAGCATTGTGCATGATGCCTAGTCATTTTATTTTAACTACTTTATTTCTAAATTACTGTAGATCACACTGAAACCTTAATACAGCACAGGTATATTGTTTTGCATTAAGTATTTTTGCACCCATTATTTAAATATTTATAAAGATACTTTGTCAGATGCCACTGATATAATTTAAGAAATGGTGTTTATAAAAGCTTGACAACCCTTATTTAGAGAAAGGCCATATCCTACTTGATATTTGATTTGATAACTGATATACGAGGTTCGACACAAAAAAAACGAGACTGATGCTCTAACTCTTTTTATTTACCAAATTAAGAAAATCAACTGTGATTGCCTTCAAAGTAGTTCCCTTCTGAGTTGACACACAGCTGCATATGATGCTGCCACAGTTCAAAGCAATTCCGCGGATCATGTTCTGTAAGGCTGTTGAGGAGCTCCGTCGTTTTTGCTTTCACCTCTTCTACCGACAAAAAATCGGTTCCTTTGAGCACGGACTTGATGTTTGGGAAGAGGTAGAAGTTGCAGGGAGCCAGGTCTGGCGAATAGGGTGGGTGCTCGAGCACAGTGATGTTTTTATTGGCTAAAAACTGCTTAACACACAAAGCTTTGTGGGCTGGCGCATTGTTCGTATGACAGCATTTTTTTTCAACCTTTTTTGTACAAACCTTTGTCATGTTCAATTTTTCCGTGAGAATGCATCGAACACTTTCCCTGTCTAAGTTAACTTTCTCAGCCATTGCTCAAACACCCAACCTACGGTTTTGTCTAATCACATCTCGCATTTTTTCAATGTCGTCATCGGTAATTGCTGTGCGTTGACAGCCTTGGCCGTCAACATCTTTCATGGTTTGTCTGCCTTCCGAAAATCGTTTGTGCCATTCAAAAACGCGTGCACGAGACATGCAATCTTCACTGTAAGCCTCAGTCAATAATTGAAAAGTTTCTGTCGCGGAATTCTTAAGTTTAACGAGAAACTTGATGCTAATTCATTGCTCAGTTTTGCAGTCCGACATTTTCTGACCGAGCGTAAGAACATGTCTATACTTCAACACTCGTCCACTTGTACTGAGTGAAGCTATCGAGTTGAGCTTTGTCACACTGTGACAGGTTAGAATATGTTCAATAACCATCTGTTTGTCCCTCCCCTCCCACTCTTGGTTCCCGAGTTATAGGGTTACTCGTTATTTTTGTGTTGGACCTCGTATGAGGGTGTTCTGCATGCCTCATCAGTGCAACCACTGTATGCCATTGAGTACCAACAATATTGGTTGTTCAAAGTGGGCAGGGCTTTAAAGTAGAGGGAAAATGTCTGGTAAAATACTAAAAAGAACATGAAACAAACCTTTGAAAACTTTAATTAACCTACAAAAATGTGATGGTGTAGTATTGTGTGTTCAGATGAGGAGGGAGACCCATAAACTTGAAAGGGATTTTACTTTTTTATAGTGCTATGCCAAGGCATAATTTGGTATTATAATGTTTGTAAACTAGGTGTTTTGATTATTTTCTGTTCCATGCAGCAGTTATTTTGGCAAGTTAGGGAGATTTTCTTGCATACAGTCTCTCCTCAACTTATAACGTATTCGACTTACGACAACCTGGACATACGACCGCCATGGTCGTATAAAATATTTTTCACATTATGTATTTTCGAGTCCCGACGTTAGTGATCGCGCTGTGTACTAACAAAATTTTTGTTTGTAATTCCCTTTAAAATGGCTGGCAAGCATAAAAGTGAGAGTTCTCGTGGCGCTGAGAAGAAAAAGAGACACCCAATTTAGAATTTCTATGTATTATTTTCACCTTTTCGACTTACTACCTGGTCGTCAGGACGGAACCCCGTCGTAAGTCGAGGAGAGACTATATTATAAGCCTCAGTCAAAGTAGAACTTACTAGAACTTTCCAGACCTGTCTGGGTTGTGCTATAGCGTTTTAGGCATCTGACTAGAAATATATAAGCGGCAGCGAGTGGCCTAGAGTTAGTCGACCGTTTCTGCTCAGAGTGTGAAGTAACAAGCCTAGTTGTGCAAGTATTGTGGAATTGTTGTGAGCAATATAAAAGTGAAAATACTAAGGAATTGTACACTGGTAGAGTGCTGACTACAATATATATTCAAAGTGATAAGTCCAGCTGTGAACAGTGTTGTGAAGAATTAGTGATTATTAAAGAAGACTACAGTGCACAAGTGTATTTCTGTGACCTGGTGGAAATCTATCGACCTGCCTGTTGGTTGTCTGTACACTGATACTGATCGTCAGGAAATTACCAGAGACTGGCGGGACAGCCAGTGGTAATTTGAGGACACTTGTGATATACTAGGTATCTCTATACTGCATCTGTACACAAGACCTGGCCGCTGGTAACCAGTGGTGGGAGCTGGGTAAGCGGTGAAGGAGGGGTCATAACAGTGGTGTCAGGAGTGGGATAGCCTAGCAGTGAGATAGTAGTCAAGATGGAAGGTGACAGTGTCCAGACCGGAAGCCAGGCCAGGCCATCTCTGTGGCTGACCTGATGTGATTCTTACACGCACAACGAGAAGAACAGAAGGAGCAACAAACAAGGTTGCAAGAACAGCTACAATCACAACGAAAAGAACAGGAGCAGCAAACAAGGTTGCAAGAGGAACTACAATCACAAGAAGAAGAACATAAGGAGAAGCAAACAAGGTTGCAAGAACAGCTACAATCACAACAAGAACAACAGGAACATGAAAATGTTCAGCTCCAAGTGAAAATTCAGGAACAATGCAGGAACAGAGAAAAGAACAGAAGCAACATCTACAGCAGCTGCAGGAATAGATCGACAAGAAAATTCATGAACGGGATGAGGCTCTGCAAGTGATGTGTAACAGATGGAATGATACGTTTCATGAGGTGCAAGTTGAAGTGGGTGAAAAATTGAAACGGCACAAACAGAAAGTGAGTGGCGAGATCACAGAGGTACAACAGAAGCTAACAGTGGTGAACAGTGAGCTACAGAAAGTCGGTAGCAGGAGGGAAGCTCTGGAGAATTGTCTAACAGCAGGGTATCAGCCAAGATCTAGTAACCCTTATAATTGTGAAAGTGTGCATGAAACATCGTTTTTGCACGCTCCGGGTGGAATGCATAGTGTTCAAAATTCTGGAAAATGCGATGAGTGTGTGGAAAAGGGAAGTGTTGAGCTGAATTGCAGAGCACCTGAGTTCAGACCCAGATCTACATCAAGTGAATTGGGGAACTATCCAAAAGTGCCAGTAAAGAAGAAACCACAGGAATTCAATGGCAAGGTCTCCTGGGAAGTATACCAAGCACAGTTTGAGTTACTAGCTGAACAAAATGGGTGGGACGACACAGTGTGCAGTAAAATTGGCCATGAGTCTTAAGTTTGCGGCTATGGAGGTTCTCAGCCAGTTGACAGGAGAAGAGCGAAGCAGTTACATGTCACTGGTAAAGGTACTGGAACGAAGGTATGGAACCAAGTGTCAAAATGAGGTTTACAGGGCCATACTCGTACCCAGATTCCATACTCGTACCCATAATCAAGGTGAAACACTGCACGCAGCTTGCTCAAGACCTGGAAAGTATGGCTCATAGGGCGTACCCTGGAGCATCACCAGATCTGTTAGCCGTGTTGTTGAGGGATCAGTTTGTGGACATATTGGACAACACACACCTCAAGATTCAAGTGAAGCAGTCCCAACTGGTAACTCTACAGGAAGCTTTGGCTAGAGCCCTGGAGTTTAAATGTGATGTGAAGTCAAGTTTACCAAGCTTTAGGACAGATTCTAGCTCTGGGTTCAAAGCACGAAAGGGCCAAGTACAAGAGGCAGAGAGATTTTAAGGAACCTGCTGGCATTGTGAGACGATTGTGCACAAACAAGAGGACTGCTACAAGTGGATATGGGAGCGAGAGAAGGGTAATACAGAGGAGAAGAGAGGATGTTGGACATGTGGAGAAGATGGACACTTTAAGACTAATTGCCCACAGAATTCCAAGAGGGAAGCAGAGCAGCCCACTAAGATGGGAAACTAGAGATGGCTGGTGCTGAGGGATAATGACCAGCCTGTCTCACCAGAGCCCCACTGTTTACAAAATGCAACCGAGCCACCGTAAGCAGTGTCCAGGTTGAAGGCGAGATCGATGGCATAGGGTGTCTGTTGGTGATCGACACAGCCTAAGGGCGGACTTTTGTGAGGCCGGACGTGGTTAGTCATCGAAAACTACCCGAGATGTCGCAGCAGCTGTGCAGGATAACTGGACAATGTGCAGTACAGTACTAAACAGACCAGTGGATATCAGCATCAAACTGGGAGGGGAGGATGAAACCCTACAGGTTTATGTAGCAGATATAGAAGACCTTTGCATCCTTGGCCTGGGCTACCTCCTACCTGGCAAGTGTCAACTGGACCTTGGCTTGATGCATTTAAAAATAAAGGGAAAGTTCGGTATCACTGAGAACTGTGAACCATGTAAGTGCTAAGGTTACAGCTAGGCGGACAGTAGTTATTCCCACAAGATCAGAGGTGTGGTTGCCATGCAAGGTGAACAGTGCCTTGCATACCCTTCTGGGAGTGGTGAAGCCTGATTATCAGCAGTGTTGTTGGAGAGAGGCACTTCCCAAGAAGTGTAGTCACACTACAGTGAAGGGGGATCCAGCCCCTTGCTGGGAAGGCCTTTAGATGTTGCAGCTGGAAAACCAAGACCTGCAACCAGTGGTTGAATGGATGAACCAGAGCTCAATGCTGCCAGCATGGAAGACAATCTCTGGAACAAGTTAGACTACTAAAAACTACTGGGAGCAGTGGGATGCTCTTCGGTTGCAGCGCCAGTGGGTGACTACCGATGGCCTCAACAGGTACTGGCAGACAGTACTTCCCCGGAAGATGAGGTCAGAGGTCCTGAGGGATATGCACAACATTCTAACCAGTGGCAAAGGCTTTACTGGATTGGCATGCGTAAGAATGTGGAAGAATGGTGCCATTCATGCAATGTCTGTTGCGCCAAAGAAAGTACCAAAGCTACACATGCGTGCCCTACTGCAGTTGTACCATGCAGGCGCACCAATGAAGAGGGTCGCAGTGGATATTACAAGACCTATGCCACTCACTGCAGGAGGGAATAGGTACATCTGTTCTGCCATGGATTACTTCACTAAGTGGCCAGAAGTATATGTCATCCCAAATCAGGAAGCCACAACTGTTGTCAGGGTGAGGGTTGACTAGTTCTTCTGCCGGTTTGGTGTGCCCTACGAGTTGCACTTGGACCAGGGCAGAAATTTTGAGTCGGCTGTGTTCAGCGAGTGCTGTACACTGTTGGGTACAAGGAAGACTAGGACCACTTCGCTTTGGCCACAGTCAGACGGAATGGTAGAAAAGTTTTATTGGACCTTGGGGCAAGAACTGGCCAAGTACTGTGCTGAGGGGCAGGCAGAATGGGACCAGAAGCTGCCTGCTCTGCTGATGGCATATCGGTCGGCTACCCACGAGTCAACTGGATACACACCGGCAAAACTGATGCCGGATCACGAACTGTGGCTGCCAGTGGACCTGCTGACAGGAAGACCACCTGATGAAGAACTTCCTGAAGAAACCACCAGCTACGTCAAAAACCTCCAAAAAATGTTGACGGAGGTCCACCATCAAGTTCGAGGAGCTGTGGAGTTTTAAGGTGAAGTGATGAAGTGTAACCCTGATGTCCAAGCAAGCCAGGTCTGTTACAATGACGGTGATAAAGTCTGGCTGTATAACCCTCTGCGGAAGAAGGGTCAGTCACCGAAGTTGCAGAGTCCATGGGAAGGACCATACACTGTAGTGGAACGCCTTTTAGATATGGCCTACCGGATCAGGGAAGAAGGAAGGCTCAACCGAAGGTAGTCCACGTCATTCGTCTGTGGCAGTATCATGGGCCAGGGCAGTACATCTGGGAAAACTCTGGGAAGCAGTCACCTACCACCGACGAGGAGCAGACCAGAGATCCTGGAAGAACTCGGCTGTACCGATCGAGGGAACCAGACCATGGACCAGGAAGAGAGGCACTGTTTCCTCTCGGCGGAATTGAATGTGACAGGAAAGGGGGACCAATCTGAGGATGTGACTGAGGTTGCTGCTCCCAGGGAGGACTCCGAAGACACTCTCAGTACGTCGGCGGCAGCAGCGGAAGAAGAGTAAACCCAGCAAGTCTTAGGATTATCATGTATATTGTGAATAAGTGTGTCAGGATGACACAAAGATTAGGGAGGGGGTAGTGTTATGCTGAGGCATAATTTGGTATTGTAATGTTCGTAAACTAGGTTTTTTGATTAATTTCTGTCCCATGCAGCAGTTATTTTGGCAAATTTAGTGAAATTTTCTTGTATAAATTACTCCCTACGTCTTGGGCTAGGGTGCCGCTGGCTGCACCCCCGAGCGGGGTAAATTGAGAAAAATCAACTTTTCCAAATAAAATTTTTAGCTTTTTTAAATGATAAGGAAGAAAGAAAAACTATATATTGACCCTCTAGAAACTTCCCTGGGGCCACAGTGGTGAGGGAGATAAGGGGACAGTGTTGTTTTGACGGAGTGCTCGTGGTAACTATGCACTTAGCAGCCATTTTCTGCTTCCCTTTGTGTCCGGGACGGCCAGTAATGCATACGTTTACCGATCATAATACTTATTTCCTATAAATAATTCACTTAGAATATTTTATTTGCATTCCTTTTCATAAAAGTGCTCGGCGACACACACCCAGTGTCTCGTCTGGCTGTCTTTGTGTTTGGTAGAGCAAGTAATGCATATAAATAATTATCGGAATAATAATTCCACAAATAAATATATTTATAACATAATCATAGCATTATTTTCCAGTAATACTACACTACAATACAACTACACTAGTTTTAGCAATATTACTTTGATACAACATGATAAAATGGACAAACAATGAAAATGAAACAAACAAAAGTAGGTACAGTGGGGTATGCTATAGCGAATCTAATTGGTTCTAGAACCTTGTTCGTTATAGCATTCGTTCGTTATAGGATTAATCCGTTCCAGGCTCCCCAAATACAACCACTTCTGAAAAATATAATATAAAATTGTAAAAATTGTAAAAAAGTGCATAAATATGCATCTAAACCCCTGAAATAAAGAATATCGTTAATACTTGTAGTACAGAAACAATAAATTAGTAAAAAAGAAAAAAAAATTTTTTTAATAATGTTCGTTGTAGGAGTTTCGTTCGTTATAGCATTCTCAATTTTATAGGTAAAACCGTTCGTTATAGGAATATTCGTAGTAGGATCCGTTCGTTATAGCATACCCCACTGTAATTACATTCCAGAAGCTTCCCTGTGGCCAAGCGTGTGGCGTGACACACAAATAGTCACGCTGGAACCTGATAACCCATGCTGGGCATTCAAACATTGTCGCGAAAAGGCGCACGTTCCGGAACGTCAACCGGGGCGCCCTAGATGGATGTTCCAGAACGTCAACCGGGGTGTAGGGGTTAATGTATTATCCGTGTAAGAATTTTATTGAATGTATTGCATCATTTTGCTATGATTTACTTCCTATTGTAAGCCTCAGTCAGCAGAACGTACTAGAATTTCCCAGACCTGTCTGGATTGTGCTATGGAGACTGGCGGGACATTCAGGGGTAATTTGACGACACTTTTGATATATCTGCTGCTTTTGTACACACGACCTGGCTGCTGGTAAGCAGTGGTGGAAGCTGGGTAAGCGGTGAAAGAGGGGGGTTGTAACAAGAGGTTAGGAAAAGTTAGGAAAGGTTTTCAAAGGGTTAAATTTTTACAAGTGCACTCTCAACGATTTTATGGATTTTAAAATGTAATTTATATATCTCACCATTCTGAGTAACTTTCAATCTATACACTTCCATCGCAAATGAATAATAATGAACCTAATTGAACCTGACCTAACCTACTTAAGAAACCTACCTAAACTTACCTAACTTCCGAGCCAGGCTCCGACCCCCACCCCAGACCCCCACCCCCAGACCCCCACCCACCAGACCCCTGAGCCAATAAATTTGTTATACTAAAACTAACGTGGTAGATATAGTAATTATTTCACATGCAATATATTTACCATATACAGTGGCCCCTCGGTTAACGAACTCAATCCGTTCCAAAAGGTCGTTCGTTAACCGAAACGTTCGTTAACCGAAACCATTGTTTCAATGGGTTTTTGGGTAATTGGTTCCAGCTCACCGAAAATTTCCTAACTTCAACAAAAATGGCGGAAAAATTTACTTACTTTGAGGTGTGTATGTAGAAGGCTCCTGGATGATGGTGATGATGTGCATTTGAAGTGGGAGGTGCAGGAGGAGAAGGGAGAAGAGAAGGAAGTGGAGGTGGAGGAGAAGCATTTTACTGCTTCTTGGAAGGTGAGTCACCTTCCATGAAAATGTCAGGAACCTCTGGACTGACAGATTCTCCACCATGAACATCCTCTCTCCTTCTTGAAGTGGAAGGCTGAGGGCTAGCATCTTGTTCCCTCTGCCTTTTACTGAAGAAAGTGTCAATTGTGGTCTGTGGGGCATCTGTCCTCCTCACCATTAACTTATGTTTAAAGAAGGAGACCACTGAGTCCTCAACATGACACAAAGTTAGTTCAGTTTTTTCCACTTCTGGGTGCTTTGAAGCCAGTTCCCTGAACTTCTCCCAGTGGTAAATCACATCTTTCAACTGTTTAGCTGACATATGGTCATCACTTTCAATTTCCTCCTCACCACTGTCAGCCTCTACCCGTAACATCTCATCCAGTTCCTTCAAGTCATTAGGAGTAAGTTCCTCCTCATGAGACATCACAAGCTCTTCCACATCCTTCTCCTCCACTTCAAGACCCAATGACTGACCAATGGACACAATCTCCTGGTCCAACTCTGTGTCATCCTCAAATCCCTCAAAATCATGGACTACTGATGGCCACAGTGCTTTCCATGAAGAATTGAGGGTTCTATTGGAGACTTCTTGCCATGATGACACAATCAATTTTACAGCCTCCAGGACGTTGAATTGTGTCTTCCAGAACTGTTTCAGTGTTAGTTCAGGATCAATGGAAGTTGCCTGATGACACCTCCTAAACATTTTCTTCATGTACAACTTCTTGAAGTTGCTGATCACATTCTGGTCCATTGGCTGTATGAGTGATGTAGTGTTTGGAGGCAAAAACAACACTTTCACAAAGTCAAATTTATACTCCAAATTTCTGGCAAGGTCAGGGTCATGACCAGGAGCATTATCCATGAGGAGAAGAGCCTTTAAAGGAAGTTTATTGGTGGTTAGGTAGCTCTTGACAGAGGGGCAAAACACATCAACAGCCCATTCATTAAAGAACTGTCTTGTCACCCATGCCTTACGGTTGGACTTCCAATAAACTCCAAGCATTGTTCTTACCACTTTCTGTTGCTTGAACACCCTGGGGTTTTCAGAGTGGTAGACAAGCATAGGCTTCAGTCGGAAATCCCCTGAAGCATTGGCACCAAGCAATAGAGTGAGACGGTCTTTCATGGGTTTATGCCCAGGTAAAGAGGCTTCATCCTTGGTGATGAATGTTCTTTTGGGCATCTTTTTCCAGAACAGCCCAGTTTCGTCAACATTGAACACTTGCTGTGGAAGATAATTTTCTTCTTCCATCAGTTTTTTAAATTCAATTAAAAACTTTGCTGCCCCTTCTTTATCAGCACTAGCAGCTTCACCATGCCTAACAACACTTAAAATGTCACTTCTTTTCTTAAATTTTTCGAACCAGCCTTTGCTAGCCCGAAAATCTTCAAATTCTGTTCCTGAAGAACCAGGTTGATCTGTCTTTAAATGTTCATAAATCTCCCTGGCTCTTTCACAAATGAAATCACCAGAAACTGAATCACCTTTCATCTGTTTTTCCCTAATCCAGATGATAAGTAACCTCTCAGTTTCTACGATTAGGGATCTACTTTTAAACACTCTTGTAGATTTGTCTCTCACGTTCACTTCCTTAAATTTGTCTTTTTGTGCAAGAATTGTCGACACAGTTGATGCCGACATGCCATATTCTTTGCATAGCGCATTTGATTTAATACCTTGTTCGTGTTTTTTTATTATTTCCTGCTTTATTTGGATTGAAATCACTTTTCTTGATCTCTTAGGCCCCATGCTGGATTCAAACAATGGCAACACGTATTTTTCAAAGTTAAACTAGCTGTAAATAAAGAATATTTTCTTTAAAGTAACACTGCACTGCACTATATATTGTCAATATGTAAAATAATTTTCAAAATGACCAATAATTTGCTTGGAAACACAGAAAAAAAGCGTTTAGTTGAAGAGAGTCTCAAGCAAGATGTTACCTCCAGTGAAAACAGAGAGAGACTGACGCCTGTTTGCTGTGTTAAGAGGCTGGATGCCGCGCATTAAACTAGTCACTTTACCTTCAATTATGTTCAATAATTGTTAAAATGACTAAAAAATTGAATATTAAACTTTTAAAATTATTGAATAGTATAAACTTCTTGATATTTACAAAAATAGTAAGGAATTTAAGCCCTAGAACCGATTAATGTATTGGCGGACTGATACTAAAGCTGGTTGCCCGGTCAGTGCAAGCGAAAACATGTTGAGGTCGGTTCGTAAGAAGTTCGTTAAGCGAAATTTTTTTCGTTAAACGAATTGAAGATCCTTATGGAAGGCAGTTCGTTAATCGAAATTACGTTAACCGAGGTGTTCGTTAAACGAGGGGTCACTGTATTATACTGCACTCTTTCATCATAATTATAAGTATAATGCTAGGATTTGTTTGACTTAAATCATCCTGAATACATACTGCATAAGTGGGGATATTAGAAGAGGATTGTTTCCTTTACATTTATTATACAATTTGACAGATATTCAGATGCATTCAGTATATGACTTTGATTACATAGGAAAATTATTTCTGACGCATTAATATTTAGTCCAGCCACCTTCATTCTCGATTACCTGTTGCAGCCTGTTGGGAACGGAGGCGACGTGATTGTGTATCAGTTGCGGTGTCCGCCGCAGTACCTCCCACTCACGGTGTGTATGCTCCTGTAGTTGCACCCTGGTTCTCTCATCAGTTGGATCCTACACGCTCACAATATTGGCCCAAACGTTCTCTATGGGGTTCATGTCACAACCTTTACTTGGCCAGTCTAAGACTTGCACATTTCTTTGTTCTGCAAACCACCGCGTTACAATCCGTGCAGTATGGATAGGACACCTATCGTGCATGAAAATGATGTTTTCGGGAAATGGGAAAGCATATGCACTTACCGAGGGAAGCATAACTTCTTCGAGTATTTCTAAATACTGTTCAGCTGTGAATCTTCCTTCTATGTCAGTCAGCTCCCCAACTCCGTACAAATATATCCATCCCCAAACATTGCAAGTCACATGCCCACTCCTTGCTTCCTCATAAATATGCTGTCTAGCATATCGGGTGTTGTTCCTCTTCCAGCAGTGCAACCTTCCGTGAGAAGTAGATGAGAAAGTTTTTTCGTCATTGAATATTACTCTTCCCCAAAAATCTAGGCCTTCTTCAGCATACCGTCGAGCAAACTGCAACCTGCCCTCGCGATGTCGCTCATTTATCTTCTCCTTGGTGGCGGGAGTTCTATGGTGAATGCCTCCTTCGTGAAGTCTTCGCCCGATTGTTAAAGGGGAAATATTTAATTGTAGATCCTCTCTTGTTGAAAATGAAGTCTTGAAGGGGTTGGCCTCAGCGAAATTCCGGATGGCTTCAACTTGTGCAGGTGTTGTTCTGCGCGGCATTCCCGTCCTGTGGTGGTCATTTAAACTTCCCTTCTCTTCCCATCGCTTAATCCAATAATATACAGTTGACCGAGAAAAAACCAATTCTCGTGCAATTTCAGTGGGTGAAAACCCAGCCTCTTTCATGCCGATTATTCTTCCACTTTCAGTGATTTTCTGCGTGTGGTATTCCATGTTGGCAGGGTCCTTCTACAATTGAGGGAGTGGAAGGGTAATCAGCAGTGACAACACCTCTGTCTCCCCCCACCTTCCCGCCAATAACGTCAGCATTATATCTATACTTATTATGTATTTATAAAAAATAAACGAATAAATAAATAAATAAGATACAAATTTATAATACATTCTACACATTTTTGGAAAAAAATTAATATATTTTTTTTAATGACACCAGACTAAATGTGACGTAATCGACACAAGTCAGAAACAAGGATTTGGGGGGGGGGGGAAGCAAAGAGTCACTCAACGAAAGAAATGCCATTTGCTGTTTACAATATTCAGAGTCTTGGAATGACAGTGATATTGCTAGATAAAGGCTTGTAAAAGTATTAGGCATATGCTACAGTACTAATTCACACCATCAGACGGATGGTTCATAAGATTAATTACCATCACCTTCAATTGAACAACGTCATTATTAATTACAGACACAGACTGACACACACACACACTCCACATGCACACACAAACACACACTCCACATGCGCCCATGCACACACAGGTAAGTAAAACAGCAGTTTGTGTTGCAAGAAATCAGCGTCTTTAGAAAGAAGTTTTGTTTAGCATCGCTTTAGTACAACTGGATTAATTACCTGAAAGGAATTAAACGTTTGAAGACAATATTAGTATAAATTAATGATAAACAGGCAACTTCATAAACAGCCTGCACACAGCTGTGCCTGATGCATGATGTTCGTTAACATACTTACCGATTTTTACTTATGTTTATTTATCTAAATATAAATTCATATAGGTTGGCCCATTGCTCTATCTATTTTGAAATCAAATTAACAGTATATACTAGCAGAAAGGCATAATATAATGCGAAACAACAAAGCCCAACCATTAATTAAGCAACGGGGAACTAAGTAACCAATCACCGATCACTTTTACATTCATTCATAATTTTTACTATGTAGTATAGTAAACTAACGGCCTTGAGTTGCCAGCTGTCTCCAGCAGTGTTTGAAGAATCTTGAACATGACTGTACATATTTACAAACACTTTATTTAATATTAAAATGCAAAAAGAGGTATAAAAACAATTAATAATGTACTGGCTGGCATCTCCACTCGTCCCTGCTCTCGCCTCCAGAGCGTCACCACTCGTCCTCGCTCTATCCTTCCGCCTCCACATCGTCACTACTGCCACCAACAAACACAAATGCTTTGTGAATAACTGCACCTCCACTTCCTATGTACAGTACTGAACTGTACTGTGCTGTGCATTTTTGCAAACAATAAACATGGCAAGAAAAGCTATTAAAAAAAAAGAGATAAAAATTTCACTTTACTGTACTGTACCTATCCTCGGCGACAGGATGGGGGTCATTGGGGTCATCGTCACTCGTTTCCATAACGGGTGGTGAAGTGGGGGCGACGGTGGGTTCAGCTGCTTCCTCACTTCCGCCAGTGATGGATGGTGTATCTCTCCTTCGGCGATCAAAGAACATGGTGATGGGGGGGTTGTCGTCTCTTTCTTTTCATCTCTTCCATGATGTTTTTGTATGGAGCAAAAACGTCATCCATCCCTCGCATGAATTTCAGGGCATGCACCGTGGAGGGGTCCATACTATAGGCCAGGTTTTTCAGTGCCTCAATATACCTGGTCATCTCCCCCAACTTCTCCAGAGTTATTTCTTGTAGCTCTTTGATGCTCTCTTGGGGGCCATGGTAAATGTGGGTAGCAACTACAATGCTGATGTCAACACAAGTGTGGTTACAGCGAGACTGACTTGACTGAGGGAGTGCGGGAACGCAGGGTGGCGTGGCGGGCGATTTGAATGTATATTCCTCCAGCGGCAATCCGCGTATTTGCAAATCCGTGTATGTTAAACCCGCGTATGTTAAGGGCCGACTGTACCACAGTATTTAGATATCCAACCTAACCCAGCCACAGAACCCAGGAACTATATCTATTCTAACAGGGGAGTGGGGACTTTGCCTCCCCAGACCCCTACTTTTTGGTGGAGATTAAATTCTTAAGATTCCTTGGATGACCGAAACAATAATAATACCGTTGAGATTTACCAATAACAACTGATCATTTGCAAACATCTTTTGAGAGTCCATTTGTAAAATAATACCTGAACAAACAAAGTAAATGTTAATTAACGCTTTTATTTGCAATTTACAATGGAAGTGGCTAGAAGAAACATGACTCAGATGGTTGATTCCACCTATAGCTACTATTATTTTTTGATAGCCTTTGAGAGTGTACTTGTAAAATAAAAACCCCAAATGTTTGTGTGGTGTTCTTTTTAGTATTTTACCCCATATTTTCCCTCTATTTCAAAACCCTGCCCACTTTGAACAACCAATATTGTTGGTAATTGGGGTGACATATCAGTTAAAATACTGTACTCAAAAAATAAGAAATTGCACTGGAAATGTAATAGAATAAAGTATTTTTTGTGTGATTCCTCCCTATACAGGTATAGAAATGTGAAATTCCATGTTCGACCTAAAACTAATCTTTACCCAAGCCTTTCAAACACAGAAAGAACTTTCCAGCAATGATTCCAACAACATGAACTCTTCCAGTGACAGCTCCATAGATAAAATGAACCAGCCAAACCTACCGAATTTACCTAACAGAAGATGGAGGTGTGCTGCACACCTTTAGGTTAGATTCGGTAGTTTTGGTTAGTTAAATTATTGGAAGATGGTGGTAATTCTTGATGAAAAGGGCGTGTCATATTTAGAACAAAGTAATACAGGAACAGATGGCTGATACAAAAAGGAGTCGTTTGATTTTGTTAATTTTTTCCACGTGTTCTTTGGAACGTTTATTTTAATTATAAGTATTTTTTTTATTTTTTTTTGAAAGTTTTTCTCTATCACTGATCATAAGTCACCTGTAGTGGGCAGGGTATGAAGGATGAGGAAAATTGCTGGATAAAACTCGGTGAAAAATTATCATATGCCATTAAAATTATGTCTCTAAGTTCTTTGTACGTGAAGAAATAAATTATTTGGCTACTGTAAATACTTCTCTGAAAATCGGCCGTTGTCAATGCGTGTTTTCATCTGCTCTTTGTTTATGGGCAACACCGAGCTGCTCCGTCCAAGTGTACTCTCACGTCAACAAAAAATGTAAAATTACACCATGCCGCTTCAAGAAAGTTGCTTTGGTACAGTAGGATTGGAATATATAGCAACTTTATTTAATTTTTTTTTTTATCGCGGCTGCCAAAATTATCAACATTTTCCTATATATAGTGATAATTTTTTTATATTGCGAGGGAAATCGGGCAGGAAATATTTAAAACTTATCACTACCAAAATTATCAAAATTTTCCAATACGTATACAGTCATGCGCCGGTTAACGTCCTAGATACGTTCTTGGAAACGTGATGTTAACCGAAATGGAAGTTGTCCGATCATCACAGAAACTTTGTATTTATACTTACATGTATGTGGAATACTATATACGTACATATACACTTTTACTCTTAAATCACTACTGTAATGTGATACAGGTAAATAATTTTTATCTCGTGCAAAATACATGAAGTTTATATTAAAATTATTCACTGTTTTACAAGGATTCCAGCAACGCCGGGCAGATGGGGGAGAGAGAGGGAGGGAGCGAGCGAGGGGGCGTGGGGAGGTAGTACGTTTGACAGTTGGCACAGGCCCAGGTCTAACGCGTGTATATTTATCAGTTCTTAAGTGACTAAGCTTCTCTCTTATAAAAAGACAGTGAAATGACCTGGGTGAATATAATTAACATTGCTGGGATTCTTGTAACATACTGATTAATTTGAATATAAACATGCTGTAATTTGCACTAGACAAAACAATTTTAGTACCGTAATCAAATTAGTACATGTGCACTCCAGCTTTGCACTAAGGTCAATTATTTCTATTTCGTTTCTTTTAGTATGGTGTGTGCATGTAAATGGATGAAAATAAATGAAGAAATCTATGTAAATCTACCCAAAAATACAGTTGAAAAACTTTTTTATATAATGTACTACAGTACTGTACACTAATGTACAACAATTTTTATCTTTTGAGCAAAATATATGACGTTTATATT